TAACCTAGGAGCTCTACACACTTGTAATCTTCCTTTGTGCTTATCTGTGATTTACAGACAAATGTACCTATTAGTTCCCACAATTTATTGTTTTGCTCATTAGGTCCCAGCAACCTTCGAAAATAGGTATCAACTCTACCATTTCAAATTGTTTTAGTATATCTCTTACTCGTTCATCGGCCATCTTTTTATTAACTCAAACCGTTGTAAAACTAAAATCACTTTAAAAGTTTTAAAACAATGTGTGAGAATTTAAAGCATTACATTTACAAATGGCCAATTACTTCTATACCTGACACGCAAAATGTAACCAATCAGTTCATGGAATTTATCCACAATTCTAGTTTTGTTCAACTAATAACCCAACCCACGAGATTTAGAATAAATCAGGAACCTTCTACACTCGATCTACTACTTACCAATGATGAACAACTCTTAACTCCACTGGTGTATCTCCCACCAGTTGGAATATCTGATCATGCAGTCATAACGTGCCGTTTATAATTTCAATCATTCTCTTCTTGCACATCCAATCACACTATCTTCTCACTCACAAACTTTGCTGAAGTTTTTCCTATCTAGACCAACTAGACTGGATTAATATTATCCCTGAAAACAATGAACCGAGCTGCATGTGGAATATCTTTCAAAATACAGTTAATGATTGTGTAAAATCTCATACTAAAAACAAAATAAACAGAAGAACAAATCTCAAACCCTGGTTAAATAATCAACTGCTGTCTATGGTAAAACATAAGAAAGACCTATGGAAAAAATTTAAGCGAACCAACAATATGAACGATTTCTCTGCTCATCGACTATTCTCCAATCAACTAAAGGCCGTAGTTATCGAAGCAAAGTATAACTATCAGGAGTACATCGCCAACTGTGCTGATAGCAAAAAGTTCTATAAATATGTTAGAACAAATCTGACATCCAAAGTATCCGTACCTCTTCTACAAAAAGAAAACGGAGATAAGTGTGCCAACAATACTGAATCTGCTCAACTCCTTTCTGACACCTTCTGTAATGTCTTCACCCTTGAAGATATGACATCACCACTTCCGGATATTTCACTAAACAGAATACAGGCCTCTATTTCCAACGTAACGTTTGACCCAGACATAATAAAAAACAAACTTAAAATGCTTAAGTCCAACTCTTCGTCAGGCTTAGATGGTATCTCCTCTTTTCTTTTAAAATCTTATGCTGACACTCTCTGTTATCCTATTTCCCGTATAATGACTTCCTCCTTTAATTCTCACATCTTGCCATCTATATGGAAAACTGCGTCAGTGACTGCCATATTCAAAAAGGGCAATAAGCTTGACCCAAATAACTATAGACCGATAAGCCTTGTACTAATAGTTTGTAAAGTAATAGAGTCCATAATATGTGATAAGGTTACTGACTTTCTTGAAAACGAACGGGTACTTCCCACCCAACAACATGGATTTATCAGCGGACGATCTACCTTAACTAATCTCCTGCAGTCTGTCAATGACTGGACAAAGGCCTTAGATGCTGGTCTTCCTACAGATGTTGTATACTTGGATTTTTCTAAAGCCTTTGATAGAGCTCCAAAGTACCGACTTCTCAAAAAGATTAAACACCTAGGAATCCGAGGCAACTTAATAGCTTGGGTACCGGATTTCTTAACCACCAGACAATTTCGCGTAAGAGTTGGTAATAGTTTCTCTCAAACCAAATCCGTTGTTAGTGGAGTGCCTCAAGGATCAGTCCTTGGTCCCCTACTTTTTCTATTATATACTGCCGATATTTCGGTGCACATAAAAAGATGTTGCTCCTTCTATGCAGACGATACAAAAATCTACGCTAATCCAATTGCGGACCATCAGTCTCTTCAATCTGATCTAAGTGCGGTATCAAAGTGGAGTTCAGACTGGTTATTACCGCTTAACGTTGATAAATGTGTTGTTCTTCATATCGGTAAACACAATCCTAAATTAGTGTATAATATTAATAATAATGCCTTAAAGACAGTATCGTCCCAAAATGATCTCGGCGTTATCATTACTAAAGACTTAACGTGGTCAGAGCATATATTATCAGTATGCAAACAATCAAACTCTCAACTATTCTTATTAAAAAAGACTTCTGGCAATGTTTCTCCCTCAACGTTTTTGAAAATATACGCAACATATGTTCGTCCTCGCCTGGAGTACTGTGGTCCTGTTTGGTGTCCCGTATTAATCTCGGATCAAAATAGGCTGGAAAATGTGCAGCGACTTGCAACAAGGCTTCCGTATGGTATAAGAAGGCCACCGTATGAACAGCGTCTGTCTACTGCTAATCTGACTCTTTTTAGTGAGCGTCGACTGCGTGGTGATTTAATCGTTTGTTTTCGTGCAATTAGGCACATGTTCGGTGTCGATCTTTCGGATTTATTTGTATTAAATAATGACCTTCGCCTACGTGGGCGCATGTTCAAATTAAAAAAGGAAAATTTTAACTCTAGAATTAGGCAAAATTTTCTTTCAAACCGAGTTTTCTCTGTATGGAACAATTTACCTGATAACGTTGTATGCGCACCTTCAGTTAACTCGTTTAAAAACCAATTTGATTCATTATGCTAAGTATGTATATATCTGTATAGAAATTATTAAGTATTAAAATCATAACAAATTGTAATGTAACTTAACCTAATTTATTGTCTTTATACTTTTATTTTAATTTTTTTTTATTATCAATTTATAGTTATAGTTTATAAAAAAAAAATGTTTATTTTTAAGTAAATTTTTTTTGAATAATATGAGCTTTATAGGATTTCGGTTCTCAGCTCATGTCAGTAAATAATAATAATAAATAATAATAATAATAATAATTTAAACAGATTTCTGTATTAGCTTCTATTTAGGTAAGTTTTCAAGGTGTAATTGTATGTGTGAATGTTTAAAGACGATCAAACATTTCCGATTATATTGTAACGATAATTTAATTTATTTATAGTTTATTTATTTAAAACACACTATTTATAATTTATTTATGACGTACTAATTAATTTAGGTACTAATTCACAATTCTAATTTATTTATTTCAATTTATCTCTTCATTCCAATACTTTATTCTAAACTACTCGTCCGTCGACGAACTTGCGCTATGTATACAAAGCCCACTTTGTACTCGTAGTTTCTAGACGCTGTCACCCGAAAATTCCATCTCTGTGACTCAACGGCCACGTATTGCTTTTTCTGGTAAATTCGACAATATTTCTCAATAATTATTTTCTGTAATAAAAATGTATGAGGTTTTTTAATTCTGTGTTTTTTTTATTCAATAGATAAATTCATAAAGGATAAATTTATTGGGAATATTAAAATTTTAATGAATACAAAATGAGTATAAAAAAGTAAATTTAAAATTTAATAATAAACATTTTTGAAGAGAGTAAACAATTAAATTTCCCGTAACGCAAAATAATAAATTGAAATTGTCATTATCACAAACACAGTGGCGCCGGGCATAATTATAATTACAAACAAAATAAATATTTTTTTATATCGTCTCTTAAATTTTCTGTTTTCGCGATAGTGAATCAATGATATGGGTTGGTATAAACATACATAAATCAAAATTAATTAATTAACAATACACAATCTTATATCAATAGATAAATAAAACGTAAAGTTGATCAAAACTGCCAGTTTCAATTGCATTATTTGAAAATTGTAACTGTACTTAACTGAAGACTTTTTACATCTAAATTACATTTATTATCGGTCTCTATATTTTCTTCAGTTAAGTTTATGTGAAATGTTCAGTTACGATATAAATCAACTTTGTAATTTAGGTTTAAATTAAGCCCAAATGAAATTCACAACTACACAACTGAACGTAAAATCACAAATTTTTTCCAAAAATATTACAAGGTATCTTTACAAGGATAATAGTAGAAATATCAATAATGAAGCATTTTTATCAGCTAACGGGGTTCGTCTGTAATTAAATTTACTACTATGAGTACGCAGCTTATAGACCAGGGCCGAAGCCTTCAAAAATGGTAAAAAATGAAAAAAAATTACAGTAGGATGAAACCCATTAGAAAAGCAGGGGAATATGATCAAAATGAAAGGAAAAATAAATTACGGTCGATCCGAGTTCGGGAAGTGGGAGAGGGTGAGTTTTTAAGGGTGAAAAATTGTTTATCTTGATTTCCGGCAAAACTACAAGTCCTATGGAAAAAAGGTCATAAAAAGATCTACAACTTTTGTATTTGCAATTTTTTCACATAACCTCAAAATTTAGGTGAAAAATTCAAAAAACCAAGTTTTTGGTTTTTTATTTATCTTTTTCAAAAAAAAAAAATTTTTCTACGAAATTTGGTGAAAACTTACCTTATTATGTCCCAAATATACTGTAATTTATTTGATTAAAAATATTTATTTTTTCGCCTCATTTTAACATAATATCAAAAAAGCACCCTAATTTTCAATCGAAAATTCTGACGTCAAAATTTCAGCTTTTTTCAAAAAGTTTGGGGGCTTTTTGTTCGTTGAAATATCTACTTTCTGATGGTGTAAAAAAATATAAATTACTATAGGAAATATTATTAGAAAATGCAAAAAATTGAAAAAACCTCAAATTCGAAAATTTTTTTTTAATCACTATGTACAATTTTGAGGTATTTATTAAAATTTACACTTTAATTACTCAAAAAACGTAAGATTTCATGTTTTGTTGATAAACGAAAAAATTGCAAATTAAAATATACTTCTATAATTAACAAAGAAATAAGTTAATAAAGTTAATATTTAATAAGACATCTACAATATTTTGAAAAAGTTGTAGAATCTTCTTTAAATAATATTTGTAGATGCCTATTTATTGCTGTTTTAAGATAATTTATATACCTGAGAGAAAATATATTACAGCATATTCAAAAACAAAACAAATTAAATGATTTCGATAAAAACATTTCAGCTCGTTTAATAAATGTGCCTGATTTAGTCGCAATAGAAGCTCATTATCACACTGTTTGTATGGCTAATTTTTATAACAATAGGACAGAAAGAAAAAGGGGTCGCTCAGCATGTGAAAACACTAAGAGTTTTATTAATTATCTTATTAATTATATCGTTGACAACGAAACAGAATGTCAATTTTCTGTCAATGAAATAAAAGAGGGGTTTTCAGGAGATCTCCCAGACTACACAACTATTAAAAATAAATTGAAAGAGCATTTTCAGAACGATATCGATTGTCATTTAATTAAAAGAGACATGATAATTTTGTACAAAAATAGTACCGCAAGTAAGAAACTCTGCAAAGACTGGTATGAAAAAAGATTAAAAAGTAAAGAAGACGAACGAACTAGAATTGTTCAAATGGCTGCTGAAATTGTTTTAGAAGATATACGTTCAAAAGTATACGATATGAATTACTACGAAATTCCAGATTTAAATGAAGGCAATCTTTTTAAGGATGTTCCTGAAACTTTGAAAGTTTTTTTTAAATATTGTGTGTACAAGTAATAAAGAAAAAAGTACAAATAACGTTCGTAGAATGGATAAAAAAGTGGCCACATTGTCTCATTGCATCATCACATCTGTGAGGCCACGTTCTTTTTTATCTCCAATTTTACTTGGGTTGTCGTCGATGATTCACAAAAAATACGCCTCCAAAGGATTGATCGACTCATTATCTAATTTAGGTTTGTGTCACTCATATAAAGAAACATAGCGCTTTGAAGCGTCGATCATCAAGGACCCTGCTAATCATACGTTTTCTCCAGCTTCATACGTTCAATTTATTTATGACAATGCGGATCATAATACATGCACGATTGATGGCAAGAATACTTTCCATGCAATGGGTGGAATAATGGTTGTTACACCGGCGTCAAATGTTACTTCAAAGAAAACCATCTCTAGATTAAAACAGATTCCATCTTATCAAGAGATAGGCGAAATTGGATTTGTGAATTTGAAACGTTATGAAAACAAAAGTTGCGATGGATTGAAAACAGTTCAGATAGAAGATATTTTAGATGTTACGGACAACTATGAAATTTCTTCGGCAGATTTTGCATGGTCTTATTCAAAATTTGCAAACAACAAATCGGATGGTTGGAATGGGTTCATGGAAAAGGTACACACTAATTTGACTTATCATACTTCAAAAATTATTCCTCTGCCGTTTATAAAAAATCCACCGAGTGATTATGATACCATTTTTACATCGTTGGTAGAAGCGGCTAAACAAGGCCAAAAACAAGAGCAAAACATTGTGTTCGTAACGTTTGACCAACCACTATACCACAAAGCTCGTGAAATCTTAGCTAGTATTGATTTAAATAATGATCCCTACAATTTATCCTCAGTCCAAGTAAGACTTGGGGGATTTCATTTAATGATGTCGTTCCTCGGAGCGATTGGATTCATCATGGATGGTAGTGGACTTAAGGAGGCTTTTTGTGAAATATATGCTGAAAATTCGTCCGACAAAGCTCTTTCCGGGCACGCATATGCACGAGCTATCCGAGGACATTTTCTAGTACAGCTCGCTTTGTCTGAATTAATTTTTTCATCGATGGAGTTATCGGACAGAAAAGGGATTAATGGATAAATTTTTGCAGGATTTAGGAACAGAAAATTTTGAAGACAATTTGCATCACGAAGATTTTAAGATCATAAAAGAAAAATTTATTGAGCATCTAAAATTAGTACAAAAAAAAGGTCCTACCGCAAAACTTTGGATGCAGTACTGGCAAATGATCTCATTGGTTAAAGATTTCATACGGGCTGAACGTTCAGGTAATTGGGAATTACATTTAAAATGCGTGGAAAGAATGCTTCCCTATTTTCATGCAAGTGGGCACTTTTTATACGCAAAATCTGCCCATCTTTATCTCCAAGATATGCGTAAACTTAAAGACACAATCAATGATGATTATGAATTTACGATATTCACCGAAGGATTCTTCACTATTAGACGTACTCACAAGTTTTGGTCGGGAGTTTGGTCGGATATGACCATCGAACAAGTTTTGATGAGATCTATGAAAACTCAGGGTGGACTTACACATGGTCGCGGTATGTCTGAAAGTGTTTTAACAAAATTCGTATTAACAATGATCATACTTGTCGAAATTTGCAATGAAATGAAAGATTTTCGTAATGTTTCTTTTACAAGTACAGAGCAACACATTGATTCAAGGGAATATCGAATAAAAAGAGATGTAGCTGATTTACAAATATTACAAAAGTTTTTCAACAGGTATGATCCTTTTCCACAGACTGATAACATTATGTCCATTTTTTCTGGAATTATTGGCAATGATTCTGTAAATTGCCATGAAGCGTATGAAGAAGGAAAAAAATCTTTGCAAGCTATTGTTGGAATGAATTTTGGCAGTGTAAAATTTAAAAGGAAAAACAAAGTCTTGTCTCTCAAAACGGTTTAATCTTCTGTTGAAGTAAACGAAGATATTATAGCCATCGATCCATTATTGCTATTTCAAAGGATATCGTTAACGATCGACAGTAAAAAAGATATGGAAACTTATTTACAATACGATACCTTTTCCATTGTCACTTTTTACAGAAAATGGCCTCAGGAAAAATGTAAAATCTCAACTCTACGAATTATTTGTGAGTGTGACTCGACCAACGCATTCTGACAGCATAATGCATGTCGTCGGCGGTGGATTTTTACTACACAAAGTAATTTGGCAGAAAAATGAAACGGTGGAAGAGATCATTAATAAATATTTGCGCTATGTAGAAAAACATTACGCAGCAAGCAGTTATATTGTCTTTGATGGGTACCCCGAAATTAAAAAATCAGCTACTGTCACAACAGTACCAGCAGCTACTTCAACTAAAAGAGGAGAACGTAATCGTAGAAAAACCTCAGACAATATTCCAGAGTTCGATTATCAAAACCATACAAAAATACCATTTTCGCAAGAAAAATTTTTATCTAACGAGAAAAACAAGGACAAAATAATTAAAAGTTTAATGAAAAGATTACAGTCACAAGGATTTTCCTGTAAACAAGTTGAAGAAGATGCTGATGCCGACATAATTAAGACCTCGATAGAAGTTGCCAGAGATACTAATAAAACTGTCATAGTTGTGGGTCAAGATATTGATCTTTTGGTTCTTTTAAATCAATTAAATTCAAATAATCATTTGTTTTAAACATTTATTTTCTCAAACCAGGCTCTGGAAATGGAAAGGATCTATTTTTCACGTCTAATAGTTTCAAACATGAATCCTACAAAAATATTGTTGCATTTCTGCATTGTTTTTCTGGTTGCGATACAACATCTGGATTTGCCGGAAAAGGAAAGAAAAGTATCGTTAATTCTATATTAGACGCGAAAAATTTGTCAAATTTGGCCAATGTTTTTTTCAAAAAAGATGAAAGTAAAGAAAATATAAAAAAATGGATTACAATTAATTAAATCTATTTATAAATGTAAAAAAGAAAAATTAACACTGAATCAATTAAGGTTTCAAAAATATCAATTGGCAAAAATTAAATCATCCTTCATTTTGGCAAACCTCCCACCCACAGAAGGAGCAGCAGAACAACATTGTTACAGAGCATATTATCAGCTTCAAACTTGGTTGGGTAACGAATTGACAGCAACAGATTGGGGCTGGAAGCAACATCAGCGTGGCATTATGCCCAAATTTACAGAAAAGGATTTAATTCCGGAACTATTGCTCAAAACTATTTGCTGCAGCTGTGAAACTGGATGTATATTTATATTTATTATTCAAACATAAAGGATAATAAATATCGTTAAAGTCATTGAAATTGTTATTTCATATTTTTATATTTAATATTTGAGAAGCAACTTTTCGAGTGCACCCTGTATTATTAATTCGAAGTTTCTCGAATGTTCTATGTGTGATGACGCTACGCTACGTCAGAGGAGGGGTGTGAGAGACTATAAAAGACCGTTCATCGAAACGCGGAGTACTTTTTGATTTGGTAAATTCAACCCACCTCTATCTTTTCTTTTCTTATCTCCGGAGAGTTTAGTTTTAATCAAAGTGTGGTTATAGTGAAATGGTTTAGTGTTTAGCAATAGGTAATGTAGAGCGTTTTCTTTATTTGTCTTTAAGGTAGATTGTTGGCTAAATGCTGCATTAGAATTTCATTAATTGTCAGGTATTTTTTTTCTTGGAGAAAAAGCCGGTTTGTGTCTTAACAAGGGATTTTGACCTTTATTGCGTTGTAAATGCTCATGGCATAGTTTAAATTTCATACCTGCTACGAATTTTGACCTTTATTGCTTCGCTATTTAAGAGTATTTTTCCGGTGAGCAGGGATTTATCGATTTGTGTCAATTTGTCAATGGATAATTTGCAGTGTTAAAATAAAATAAAATTTTATGATAATTTGTTCATTGTTTCTTTTTCTATTGTGTAATAAATCGATGAAGCGCTAATTACTGGATTATTGTAATTTTTTTGGTTAGCTAATTATTCTAGGTGCGGTGTTTAGGTAATAATTTGTCTTTTGGAGAAATATTGAAGGTTTGCTACGTTACTTATCGCCACGAAATATTAAACCGAATTCACTAATAATACACGGAGATAAAGCGGCTTCCGGACAGCTTATATACAAAGGTTGCTTATTTCTTTCTTCTCTCATCTTTTCTCTTCACTTTCTTAGTACTTTTTTATTAATTAACAAAAGCATAGTTCCTGATAAAGGAAGCTACGCTACTAAATGCCGGTTAATTAATAAAAAAGGTACCCTACTCTAATTCTATCTCTACTATCCTATTTCCTTTTAAGTTTTTTCATTATTTTATTATTTTTGGGGTTTTTTTGTTTGATATAACCATAGGGTTATAGGGGATTTAGATTGTTAAATCTATTGTCTAAATTATCTGTTGATAATTTTAGTATTTTTGGGGATTTAAAACCAATTATATTTAATTGATTCCTTTTTCAAATATATTTAGGATACCACTTCATGGTTTTAAATTAATCAAGGGGGTAATTATTAGTTTACCAACTAAGCTTAACTTTGGCTACATAATTTTAAGTTTCAGTTAACTTTCTGAATAAGTTAACCTTCTGTTAACTTATTTAGTTTTAATATTGTTATTTTTTCCACACAGGTGGATATAATTATCAGACTAAATGGTCTAGAACCTCGTTAAGGGTATATCGTTGGGGAATAATAGCATTCCTTCATTATTATCAGTCTTTTGGGCAATTTACGTAACCTCAGGGGTAGTAAAAGACGTCTTTTAACCACCATTTTTCTGTATTGCCAATATAAGTAGCTCACACACACATATGTTTCATTTTCATGCACTGGGAGTATTACCGATGACAAGTTAAGCCAACAGACCAGAAAAGTTTTGAAAGTTAGTCGATCCAAGTGGAAATCGAGTTCCTCAACATCAGAACGTCGGTGAATCTGCAACCCATAGAATTGAGAGACCTTATAGTGTACAAGGCTCCTTCCTGAATAAGAACCAAATGCACCACCACCTCGTTTGAACTTCTGAAGAGGCTCGATTACCTCCAGAACCAGCAGGACCATCCCTCAGCTTAGTCATCCGGTAACTTAAACCGAAACACAGCCGAGCTTACTTGTATTTATTTATGTACAGGTTACTTAAATTGCGAATATCATTTTTTTTCATTTTTTATAACTATTTAATACCTAAGTTTTATAATTTTCTACATTTGGAACCTTCAGTTCAACTTTAACTATATTTTGTTCTTTTCCAGAACCCTCAGTTCTGTATTTGTCAATTATTATTATCTTATACTTTTCTACATTTGGAACCTTCAGTTCAACATTAACTATATTTGTTTTTTTAAGAACCCTCAGTTCTGTATTTGTCATTGTTGTGGACAATAAAATCTAAATTGAATTTATCTGTTTTAATTTACCTGATAT